GATTTCTTGTATAATTTGTATTGTTCGGGAGTGGTTTTCCTGAACTGTTGTTGCTGTAGACTGTTTTGTTCGGTAGATTTTGATCTTTTTTCATGTATTGATAGAATGATTTATTTGGTTCTTTATATTTTTGAGGTTTATTTTGATTGTCTTGCTGTTTTTGTCTACATTCGGAAATACTATGTCCGTATCGTCGGCAATAATTACACCATTTTTTGAAAGATGGTTTGCCTTTAAAGTTTGGGTTCTTTTCGTAAATATTGAGTATTTCAGTGATTTTTTCAACGAGGTCTGTCTCTGATTCCTGTATATTATTAATATTAGTGGGAGTCGTTTCAATTCTGTTAACGTATTGTAATTTCAGATTTTCCGTTTCTTCTAGTTTCATCGTGATTTCTGCTTGTTCTAATTTGTCTACTAGTTTTCGAAAATCTAAATCGGGTTCTCGAATTGAAGAAGGATGGGATGCTCTCTTTTTTATTGCTATTTTCCTTAATTGTGGTGTTAAGGTCATCATTAAGATTTCTGTCATCTTTGTGTTTTTATAGTCGTGTGTATTTAGTGAATATGCTTTTCGAACTAGTGTTTCGATTCGTACTGCTAATTGCTTGATGGTTTCGTTTGGTAATCTGCGAATTTCATTACATAAAACTCTTTGTTGTTGTTTGTTTCTTTCGGAGTCAAACATTTTTGAAAATTCCTGTGTAAACCTTTTCCAGTTTGATTTTATTTCTAGAGGTAGTACTGAAAACCATTTTTGGGCTGCGCCATCTAAGGTTGTTTGTATTAACGCTGTGCGTCGATGTATCCAGTTTTGATGTAGTGGCGTATTAATTGGTTCAGGTCCAATATTTAAAATCAGGTTTGCTGTTACTGCATTTAAATAATCTTCTACAGAGTATTCAGGGTCTGTTCCTGTGAAAACCATTAAAGGTTTGTTTGATGTTATTGATGATCCACCCATAAGGTATGGATTCATTGTCATTTGTAATGATTCTGCTGCATTTGGCATTTGAGAAAAATTTGAAAGTTGGTTTCTTGTTATTTCATGTTGTTGGAGATAATATGGGAGTGGTATTTCATTTTGCATTTGTGATGGTTGATACGAGTGTGCAGTCATTGGATTTTGTTGTTGAATTGGTTGAAAAGATTGTGTATTAATTAGATTTTGTTGTTGAATTGGTTGTTGATGTTGTGCATCTATTGATTGTGGAGAAAAATTTCTATGATTTGTACGTGTTCTCTGTATTCCTTGTCTACGATATTCTTGAGTATTTGGTGCAAATATATCTGGTTGTAAGAAATCATCATCTGAGGATAAATAATCCATTTGATAAGATGTCTGTTTTTTATTTTTATTTTGTTGAAAAAATGGGTAATTTTCACTGTGATCCTGTGGAGGATTTGTTTGGAAATTTATTGAATTAGGTTGGGTCATTGGGTTATCCCAATTTCGAGATCTTGTATATTGGTTAAAATTTCTTTGTGGTTGATTATATGTTTTTGATGGATGTGTATAATTATAATTATGGTCTGTAAAGTTGTTTCTAGTGAATGTTTTGCGTGTTTTTGATGGTATTGTCATGGGTCTGTATGTTTGGTAATCCATATGTGAATATTTAGGGGCAACCGAAGGTTTAACGGTTGATTGTAAGGTTACCTGTGTTTGTGAAGGATTTGTATTTCTTGGTGTTGTTAAATTTGGGCGTATTGGTGAAATACTTTGTTGTGTAGTTGTTGTGTGTACAATTTCTTCATTTATGAAGTGTGATGGTGTCTGGATATCTTGTTGAGTAAGATTCCTAGTTCCATTGAGGTTTTCATTGTGTATGACTGTAGAGTTTAAACTATTATTTTGTGTATCGGGCAAAAATGTATGATAGTTTAATGGTGTTGCATCAATGGTGAATGGTATTATTTTTACATAATCTCTTATGTAAGATATCGTACTTATTGCTTGACTTGAGATTGATTGTGGGAAGCTTATAAATGCGGGATGAGACCATTCGGGGTCCCAAACATAATCTGATTGTTCTGTGATAGCGGTATCATCGTTCGAGTTTTGGGGTCTAAAATTTTTTCTTGCTTGTGCAATTAAATCAATATTTTGTGTGAAATAATCTATTATGAACCATGCCAAAATTTTTTGTAGATCGTGTTTTGTATGTTGTGAAACGTCGTCTTTCGTGAAATTTTCTTTAATGATGTTTAAATAACTAGAGAGTAGTGTGATTTCATGTCGTACTCTTAAATGTTTAGATGTTTCTGTCGGTGAGACATTTGTTATTGGGATTTCGTTTTCTAATATCGAAATATAACTATATATTATTGCGAAAACTTCATTGGTGAATATGGAGTTTGCTCTTTGTGAGTTATGATATTGGATGCTTTTTATATATTCTGAAAAAACTTTTGAAAATTCTAAATCAAGATCGTCTGTTTGAATTGTATATTTTCTGTTATTATGGTTTGGTGAGGTGAATTCTATGGAGTAGATTCCATACTGTTGTGTTATGTTGCATATATCTTTTAAGTAGTGGTCTATGATTTGTCTTTTGATTTTTACATCTGGGAACTCTGTTTTACATGGACTGATTCCGGGTTCAAATAAATTTAATAGTAAATTTTTGCAAAATATATGCTGTCCTCTATCAGTGGTTGCATCTATTATAAAAGGAAAGATTTCATCATCATCTGGGGTTTCGTCACCTGGGGTGTGCGTTGAGCTCATTTTTTCGTTCGATGACTGTTAATATGTAATTATTAATGTGTCGAATTGGTTGATTCCAATTGTATAAATGTACTGGTTTGTGTTTATACTGCTTTTTTATTCTTCTTTTTCCTCTTTTTGATGAATTTGAAGTTGTTTCTGAGTCAGAAAAATATAATTGATCGTGAAGTGGGCAATTTTTATCTATTGATTCTTTTAGTTTGTAAAGTTTGTCTAAACTGTTGGTTTCTGATTCTGAAAATGCGTTTCGATTTTTTGAAAATCTTTTTCGTGTTATTTGTCTTTGTTTCGTTATTATTTTTCTTTTTAGTGTTTGTCGTTTTGTTCGAATGTATCCAACTGTTTGTGTATGAGGTGTGATTACAAGGTCGTATTTTTTGTTATCTATTTCACAATTGTGTAAAACGATTGTTTGTTTATTTCCTAGGTTTTTAAATGACATAAGGTTTAGGATGACGGATGCAAAAGGTTGTTAAACGATTTCTATTTTCCTAAACTGTTAGTTCTTACGATTTTTTGGTTAGCTTAACCTGGGTCTATTTGTTCAGGGTTGGAGAGAAAAGTATATCGATTCCGAAGAATGATTTTTTACTTTCTCGTGGCTAGTATAAGTTAAGGTGTTAACTTACTTAATCTTACTTAGGGTAGTGATTGTGTTCAAGGGTTGGAGAATAGTAAATCGATCCACAAGGTTCAGGTATAATTAGAACGCGAGTAGTTCGTTAGATACTATTTTAAACTTACTAAGTCTAAGATTTATCCTGGGTCTGTTAAGAGGGGGGGTCAAGTGAATGATGAATAACCGAAGTTCTTCACTGTTTATCCTAATTTGAATGATTAGTTTTGTTTAAAAATTTCTATTAGTCTTAGGTCTTTAGAAAGGGTTGGGTAGTGAATCGACGTTTGAGGTCGTTAGACACTAATTAAGTGGGTGGGGGAGAACAAAGTTGTTCTGTTTGATCCAAGGATAAGCCTTGATGATCAAATTTGAAATTTAATTAAGTAGAAAATGATTTAAGATCCAAGGATAAGCCTTGATGATCTGATTTTAAAATTAAGTGAATTTAAGTTTTAATAAAATTTTAAATGTGTGTAAAGGAAAGATTTAGTGTTTTGATGATATTAGTGGGTTTATGATTGCTGTTATGTTTTAGGTGATGGAGCTGGAACAACAGGATGATTTATGATTACTAACCATTTATTGTCATGCTACTAATTTTTATTTTTTATTTTTCAATAATTATTTTTCAAACATGTTTTGTATATTACTGCAGAGTTTTAGGAAAACGATCTTAGATCTTTTTATCAATCGTTATTGTATATTAATAATTTTGTTTAGCGCCTGAAATGATTTTGAAGATTAACTTCAAGGTTTTATGTTTGCAAATGAAAATCTAAATTCATTGCCAGTAGTATTCTAAATATAAAAGTTTGTTCTGGTTTTTGCCTAACTATCATATAGCTATATGGCAAGTTTCTACTTTGTCGTATGTCGTCTCTGGTTCGAGGTCTTCTTCCAATTCCGGGTAGTTCTGTTATGGTTCGGAATATTGGCTCTGATCTATTGAGTCGTAGAGACATTTCGATTAAATTATTGTCGTATAACATTTTGTAAATGTTTTTGTCTAATTTCTAATCTATTTTGGTTAATTCTAAGCTATTAAGGTCTTGTTCGAGACTTATGGTCGCACCAGATGAGTTAGGACTGGAGTGTATAACTCATAGAGTAATTTCGGATAGGGTACACCGTCTGCTCGTCACGCTATCTTATTTTCGGCCGGATAGATTCGTGCAACTTCTTAGTCTAATACCGATCCTAATCTTACTCTTATACTATCTAGTCTCAGGTTGTTTAACTAGTCTCTGCTAGGCTCAATAGATCTAGGGTATACTGGTTTATTGCGGCTGCTGAAGTGCTCGGGAGAGTCCAACTATTTTCTAAGTTAAATTCAAATCTCTCTGGTGCTGAAATTACAAGTAACTTCAGCACTTACAAATAAGTGGGTTGTTAGTTAGATGGATCATGATTGGTTAATATTAAATACTTTACATTGGTAAAATATCTAATTTATCCAATCATAAAATGTAGTTTAGATCAGGTTCCAGTTAGCTCTCGTAGAGTACGGCATCTTTTGTCTCAAAGCTTTTTATGGTAGTTAGAGGTTTTTTGTCCATGTTATTGTGTTATTCAAAATTACGAGGCCAAACTGCATTCTGTGCATTGTAAGCGGAATCCGAGCAGGCGATTTGTCGATATAAAATGAATCACCGCAGAAATGATGTCGTTTGTGTTTATGGCGATGTGCTGCACCCCGGGACCCCCATAGTAGTCCACGTACTCCTGGATCTGACTCCTCCTCTTCCCAGGGGCGGGCTCATTGATTGGCATCTTAACCGTCTCCTCAAAATTCGTCACCACAATACTCCGCAGAGCACTAAAAAATCACGAAAAAGATGGGATATCTTAAAATCAAATTCTCTTCAACGCATGTCCGACTTTTGGGGCATTTAGGGAATCGAAATCCTGAGAAAGACAACTGATGGAGTACGAATCCTGACCAAGAAAAAGTTTTTTATATCTATTTTACACCCATTTTTGCAGCAAACCTGAAAATTAGTATCTAAAAAAATGCGTACAAAAAACGCATTAATGAATGAAAACTTAACAAAAATAAGTAACATAACATTTGATTGGGACAAAATAACTGAACTCAGCGCATAATATTTTGTTCACTTCAGTTTGGCGTAGTTTTTTGTTAAATTAAGACAATAGCTTAATGAAATGGCTATGCATCAGCGTAAATTGAGTATTATGTATGCTTATGAAAAACCCAATTTTTTAAAAGTTATGACATTACGAAGCCAAACTGTGCATTCTGTGCATTGTACACGGATTCTGCAACAGGCCAAAATCAGATTTGTCGTGGAATCCGCAACATTTGTACTTTTCTTCGATCTTTTTTGCTGCTTTGGATTCCACAAACAAATAATTAAAACATATAACCGTTCAAAATTGCTCCAAAAATTGGCAAATTTGCGGAATCCGTAACTGTATTTGCGGAATCTAGAACAGTTTGTGAAATCCACAAACAAATAATAAGACATGTGTATACTTACATTGAACTGTTGCGGAATTCGCAACTGTAAGTAGAATCCGCAAACTGTGAGTGGAATCCGCAAATTGTAAGTGGAATCTGCAAATTGTAAGTGGAATCCGCATTTGGTTTGCGAATTCCACTTATATTTTGCTGATTTCACTTACATTTTAAGGAATCCACTTACAGTTGCGGAATCCAGAACAACTAGCTATATTTGCTTGTTGCGGAATCCGCAACAAAACGATTGTGCCGACAAAACTTACGTTTTTTACGCGGAATCCACGAAACTTTTGTAAGTGGAATCCACTTACTTTTTGGAACATGTTTAAATATTTGTCTCTGGAATCCAGGAACATACAGACAGAGACACAAAATTTAGCGCCTATCCAGTGCACAGTTTGGCCTCGTAATGGAAAATTACGGACGTTTTGAAAACATGAGCCGAATTTTCTCTCGAATTTTTTCAAGCTTTTGCTTCCTGACATTTTAAGTTTAAAAGTTCTACCTGAATTCAGTGGACAGTTGTCTGTCATCTACAGACCAGAATCGGTGGAACTGCAGAATGTTTTCATACCAGTCGGCCACATCCACCATCTGCTGCTCGGGCTGATTGCCCACCACGTGATCGATGAAATTCAAGCATACCTGAACGAACATGCAGACTTGAAGTGTACACTTTGTTCAATTTTCCGACGAAATTTCACAGATGTTTTTAGTTGTGAGCTTTACAAAAAGTGTTCCCTTTTTGGATTGTCAGGTTTTGGCAGAATGAGTTTTTGTTTGATAATTGTGGTTTTCTCTGTTTTTTCTTTACATTTGGAGTTAATTCTTTACATTTGGAGTTAATTCTTGATGGAGTTAATTAAGGTTCACGAAGATTTAAAAAGTATTCTCACAGGAGGAAGCCTGGGTAGTAAAGCATCGTTGACTTCTGATTTTCTGAATCCGGGTAAAAACACTCCATCATAGTGTTTCCTCTCTACAAATGTGTGAATTGTATCACCATATGTCTTGACCTGGGCAAAGGTCACTGACCCGAACTGATCCGACTCTGTCCAGAGTTCACGCACGACTTGGGCTCCTCGTTTGACAGAGGCGTCGAACACCGCTCGGCAGTCGTCGACTGTGAACGAGACGTCTTTGACGCCATCTCCGTGCTTCTTGTGATGTTCGCCCATTTCTTCGTTTCCGGGAACTAGGGCGCTTTCAAACACAAAAATGGCCTGAAAAAGACACCAATGAAAGTTTTTCTTAACTCGTAGTACTTATTTTCCTTTGTTTTTCCGACATGCAGTTTCTACAAGCTCAAAAGATAATATACAGATGCCAGAATCATATCGCGGAACTGCAGCTTTTCTGGAAGACATACGTTTTTTTCTTCATGAGTAAACAGGCTTCATTGTTCAATAAAATGAATCAGAAATTGATCACTTTGTTTTTGTGCGTGTGGTTGGAGGAATTGCAAAAAAAAATCAAATTGCGGGATTTTTTTTTTACAATTTTGACCAAAATTCGACTCAGATAAATGAAAGCTGGACCAAACATGAAACTATTCGTCTCGTTTTTTCCGAATTTTGAAGTGTTTCGACTTTTTGTACAAAAAGTTTGGAGGCAATGTTCAAATACAGTCAGCCTGAAAGATATTGATAATCTGAGTTCAAAAAAATTTATATTCTTCTAGCCATATTTTTGTTGGATACTCGTGGTTTTCAAATTTACCGCCAATTTAGCCAATATTGCGCGTTCTTTATCAACTGTTTTTTTCCATGATAGCAGCTAAGAAAGCGGCCAAATGATCCCGCAGCAAAAACATTCCAAAGTTGATATATTGTTATCGGTTAAAAAAATGCTTTATTGGATGAGAAACATATCACTTCGGACTAAGTTTTGCATGTGAGCGGAAAATTCAAACACTGATATCGATGAAACTTTGTTTTTGAACAAAAATTTCTTCAGAGTAGATTATGAGCACTCGTAGCTTGAAGTTTAGAAGAGCAAAAGTCTTGTTTTCCTTTCCCAATTTTCAAAGAAAGTGATCAAATGTTTCGGATGGTTTCGGTTTTTCCTATGAAATTTTTCTCTTCTGTTGGTTTCACTCCTGGGTGTATTTGATTTTTTATATTGATACCCTGGAACCGGTTTTTTTTAAAATTTCTGTAACCTTCTGTAAAATTGCCAATTTTTTCAACTATGGATTATGAATGCAAACGATTTACAAAAAAAAAATTGGATTTTAAAAAACGATAATGGCGCAATGTAATAATTCAGACTCAAGCAATTTCAAAATTGGGGCAGTTTCGAAAGCAGGCACTTCAGGCAAAAAACACAGATAATCCAGCAGAAGTCAATTTGCTGAAAATAGGTTTAAAAGAGATCAGGAGAATCATGAAAAATCAAAAACAAATTTCAAAGATCAAAGAAAGTTTTCTGTGCATAAAAATTTATGATATGGGCAAAATGACAATGCAAACAATTAAATATTTCTGCATTTGGTCCCAATTAAGGTAATTTCTATTTTCCATCAGTTTTTGCGTAGAATTGAATAAATGAGATTAAGTTTTTTGATATAATTTTTGGCTATCAGTCTCCTTACTTTGATTATGGCCTTTTTTGCTCGTTTCAAGTCGTTTGCTTAGTTTTAGAAGAAACTGTTGCTTGTCGACGCCGTTTCTTGCAGCTTTGGACTAAGTGGAATACATCTTATACCTCAAAGCTTGTTATTTCAGTTTTTTAAAACGATTCAGTTTATTAAAAAGAAAAATTCGCTGTATGTAGTTACCAAAGAGGAATAAACAAAGTTGATTAAGCTAATCTAAAAACTTTATAAAGCCAATCTAAAGTTAGTTTTTTGATGTTTGAATCAGAGAAGACAAAGTTTTTCTCTCCGTTCTAAGATAAAGTTAAACACAGTTTTACGTCAAGTTTTGTTCAATTGGGTTACTGATGACGATCCAGACGATAACAACCACTCGATAAACGTAGTTACAAATGAGGAACAATCAAAATTGAAAGTGCTAAATTATAAACTAACTGCTAAATTTAGGTGTTAAATTCATTAATGGTTTCTGTTTAGACAGTGATTTAATCGCAGTTATTTTCAAAAATAGCAGTTAAAAACTCAAGTTTAAGCTTTTTTTTGAATCAAATACCCAAGTTCCTTGTTATCCGGTTGCACCCTTCCTCGCCTGAGGCATGATAAAAAAATCAGCTTAACTGTGTGACCAGTAAGTGGTTGGGCTGCTTATCTGTTTAACTAATTTCCGTTTGAACGTCTGAAAATTATCAGCTTAGCTTCGGTCGGTTTTCATGTGATTTTATTACTTGTAAAAATGTGTGAGTTTGTGTTGAGCTTGATTGGATTTGGATTTATCTGCTGTGACATATTTTTATGGTAATAAATTGTATACTATTAGAAAGTTTTAGTTCTGTTAAATCGATCCGTTTCGAGTTCAACTGAAATGAATTAAGAATTTTGTTATAGGCCATTTAATTGAAACTGCATAGTTTTTTATCGTACTTGTAAATTTTTTGCGCTTCTTTCCTAAACGTTCAAATTATCTGACAATTATTTGGCTTTTTAAAATGGCAAAATTATGCTTTTGAAAATGGCTAGTACCGATTTTTTTAGACCACCGCTGAGACTTCCGTTGCTTTAAATTTTTTTGTGGGTTTTGTTATTAGAAGAAAAAATCATAAGTTTGTACCTTGCGCATAGGCGAAAGACTTGTACAAAAAATATAATTGATTTTTGATTGTCTTAATTTTTAACTAATAGCTATTTCATGTTATAAAGATGGCAATCAGTTTTTTGGTTTATATCACTTTTTGAAGTCACTTTTTGAAGTTAATGAGATGGATCAACTCTGATTTTTTATGCGAGGTTCAATGGTGCCTGTTTGGTTGTTTTGAGAAAAGTATTGTGCGCCATTACCAATACTTTTAAAGCGTATCGGATCGAAAAATTTGACACGTTCCAGAAATTACTCCGAACTATATTTGCTCACTTAATAAGTCTAAACAACGAGTTTTTGGACAAGAAACACATATTGTAATGTACGTGGCGTTCTGCGTGGGAACAAGATTTGTTAAAAAAGAAATTATTAAGTTTTCATTTTTCTTAAATATTGTTCAACCAAAAAATAAAAATTGAATTTTACTGGGGGAAAAGGTAATTAAGAACATCGTTCTTTTTTGACTCTCATTGATAATTTATGGAACATTTTTGATACGAGTTTGTTAAAAAAAGCACAAAATTTGATTTTGAATTTGATGTTGCGTTTAGAGGGGAACATTAAAAAATTGTATTAACTCTTTTCTCATTGTTTTAAAAAAAATCTAAATCAGACACGGTAAAGGCACTCGGAAAAATCAAAGTTTTGCTTAGATATGAGCAGTCTTGTATCCAATTAGTAATGATAAACCGTACACTAATTTTCTCTAATTTTGCAGCCCAATAACTGTCTGTCTCCTCAACGGTTTCTGACAGAAGCAAATTTTTAAAATGGCAAATTGAATGAGATAATTTAAGTTCTTGGTGACATTTAACTAGCCTTTTTGTTCTTCGCTAGAACCCAACAGATTTTTATGAAGAATTATCTAGCAAACTTACCACCCGAAAGGCGATTGTTCATACCTTATTCTGCCTGACAGCATGTGCGACAGTTTCTCTACTCCCTGTCTCTAGGCCCCGATAGGCATAGGGTTCGAACCCCAATCGTGTACAGTAGAAAGAAGCAGCCTGCATTTAAAGTAGAAAAATTTTCTTCCAATAAATTCTAAAGTCATAGAAAGACAAGGATTCTTAAGTTTTGAAAATTATCAAAACATTGTCATATTCATCAAAAAGTTTCAAATTATCAAAATGATCATTAAACTAAAGTTTCGAGAAGTCTGACCAATACAGTCGGCTAAATGGCATATAAAAACAGCTTATAAAATCCAAAAACACCAAGTTGCTGTTAAATCACAATGAAAAATCTTAAAGAAAAGTAACTTTGCTGACCTGAAGAGCATTTCCCACCCAGAATCGAATGTGATCGAAAGCTAAATATTTTCCACATTCGGGCTAAAAAATCCAATTTATTATTTGAGTCATATGAAATCCATGTGAAACGATTCAGACAACGAGCTCAAAATTTTACCTCAGCACCTTTCTCGTAAGTGGTCTAAACAAAAAAAATGGATAAAACTCATGCAATGAAAAAAAATTAGATAGACAGTCGCCTAAATTTCTCTAGAAAGAGAGACTTACCATTTTTGGAGTGTAATTATTGGCAAAATGTTTTTTGATCCTTGAAAATTAGGACTCGGCTGGATGATTTAATGGTAAAAATTCAAGTTACTCAATCGGAACTTTGCACAAATTTGGAAATAGTTTCGCTGTCACTTTATATCTATTCTTTTATAATAAACTAATGATATATGATGATATAGTTTCAAGTGTGATGATATGAATTATACTGAACTCATTTTATAATAAGGCGAACACTCCTATGCATATGTTATTTTGGGGCCATTAAACGACAAGATCAGAAGAAGTAGATATAGATTCACGATTCATTTTGCATATTCTCCGATGGCGTAAGCGCCAACGCCCTCTTATCTCTGTGGGGTGTTCATGACACACCCAATCTTCAGAATGCGGTCGCCTGATGACATAAGTCTTCATGGACAAAAGAGGATAATACTATTCAATGTACTCTGATTTCAAAGCAGTAACTTACCGTCACCATGAAGCTTCTTGAAGATTTAACAAAAATTACAAAAAAGTTTTTGATAATAACTTCGACCTACTAAGATATTAATCAGGTCAAACAGCATGAAGATATCCTCCAAAACGAGTACGATAATCTTCAGCTCAACTAGCATATCTAGAAATTCAATAGCTTTTGAATCATCTTCAAGAATCTCTATGGTTTTTTCCAATTCTTCAAATTTGTAGTGATACACAGGGAAAAAACATTTACGAAAAAAAATTGTTTCAAAGAAATGTACCGCGTAGTATAAAATTTTAGAAACATCAATATCAATATCAACACCATACTTACGCTAAAATTTTTAGTTTTTTAAAGTTTTTTTTCTCAATTGATGATTATAGTTAGCTGCCTTGATTTATATATTCCTCAAACAATTAGTTAATAATCGCAGGCGCGGATCTAAGATTTTCTCGAGGGAAAGCAGATTTTAAAAAAAGAGAAAATGGTTATTGATGATATTGATTTCCCAAGCTCTGCCAAAACACGCTAAAAACGCTTTTTTGTAATGTGTTTGGTTTTTCTTGACAAAAATTTGCGTTTTTTCTGCACATCCTCAACGGTTTAAAATTTTTATTTTAAAGTTTTTTAATTTGATAATGTCGATTTCTCGAGCTCTCCCAAAATAGGCTCGAGACCTTTTTTGAAATTTGTTTGGATTGTTTTGACCAAAAATTTGTGTTTTTTTTGCGCACCAACCTCAACAGTACGAGGCCAAATAAGCGCACTTTTGGTGTTTGTAGGTCCCTGAAATCAAGTGGAAAGACTTTGAACACGGTGTCGACACAATCAAAGAAACTACAAGATCAAAAAAATCAAAAGGACTGCTTCGTTGTTGAATTTGCTTGAAATATACCAAAAACAAAGAGTTTGACCTCGTAATAAAAATAGTATACTTTGGTACCAAAAAACGTCTTCAGAATAGCTAACCGGTCGGTTGGCAAAAAAATGGATGATTCAAAAATTAATACTGCTGACATTTGGGCAGTCAAGGGATCGACTCTCCGAGAAGAGGGGAGCGCATATGGGTTTTAATTGATTTTGTGTATTTCCGAGACAAATATAATTCATTACATATGTAAAATTCAGACCACAAATTGGATGGTATTGTCATGCAATTTTTTTTTTCGAGGAAAACATTCACGATAATCGAGTATAATCTATTATTTTTGTCACTGAAATTGAAATTTTTTGTCAAGATGATCCATTATAAACATTAAGACCATTTTTTCCACGGGGGAAAGGACCAACACAAGAGCTGTACAGCTCATCACGGCGAACCGCTGTTGTGCTCCTGTTTAAGAACTGCATGCAATTTGCTCCTGTTTAAGAACTGCTTGAGTTGCTTCACCCTCAAGCAACGAGCACGGATCATGGTGGGCCTCGAACATCCGACCTTCCGATTGAGAGGCGGAGACGTAACAACTTCACCACTGCTCCCCTATTTTAGTAAAAACTAAAAATCATATTTTATTAAACACTAAAAATCAATCATAACCAAATTTATTCAATTTTGTTTTTCTATAAACCTTTACCACTAAACCCCCAACCTCTTTACCACGAGTTGCGAAATAAAAGTTTCAAAGTTGCAGTTTAGATTATTGATTTTGGTTAAGCGCAAAGTGTGGACTTTGTTGTAGTCCCAATTATATAATTCTTGAGTGTTTTTCACTTTTATTTTAAAACTTAGAGTGGCATTTTTTTCAATGCTTGAACAAATCTAATCAATAACATTTAGTCAAAATTACAAAAGAATTTCAAAATCCAAGGAGTTTTTTATTTATTACGACTGCTGTGTGATTGCATTAGCAATAAAATAGATCGTTATATTTCGATTTTTGCTGGTCATTTTAAAAAATAATAGGAATCAGAGTTTTGACCCGACTGATAACGGTATACAGCGGCTTGGGGGTGCAAGACAAACTTTAGAACATTTCAATCTTTGATATTTTAAAAGTTTTCAATATCAATTTTCTGGTATGTCATGTTGCCAAAGAGTATAACAAGCCAGGCGACACAGCCTCTTAAAAACTCACAATATTAGTAACCAAAGTTCAAATTTCGCTTTTAGGCGTTCAGCAATTAAATGGAAAAAATTGTTTCGTGTTTTCTTTTTATCTTAATAGTGACTTTAAAATTGGCGACTTTATTTGACGAGGTAAAAATATTGGTTGGTCGGAATTGAGAATTTGAAGGGTTAAAAAGTTTGAGAACCCATTCGTGAATTGACAATTTTAATTAACAACTTACTTAGCATATTTTGCTGAGCGTTCTTAGGATCTGTATTAGTTTTGTATCAGTGTTGCTATCTTAGTTTTAATTTGCTTAGGGTTTGTTGTTCGTCATAATTTTACAGCCAGCAGTTTTGTAAAAGTTTCACTTGTTTGTTATGACGGCTCGCTTCAAGGCAAGGCTGGCTGTTTGGTTAGAAGCGGATGGAGTTCAATGAGATGACCAAAAAGGTACTCTAAAAATTAGCCGAGCATGTTCGCACTGGGGGCACAGCCATAATCATGTGTGCCTACAGCATGAAATAACTTATACATTTGAAAGTTTTTAAAGAAAAAGTAGAGCAGCCTAATTTTAGAAGCCTAAAAATGAATGTTTCAGTTTTTTAATTCAGTATTCAAATACTTTTCCACAAAAGTTGTGCAAAAGCGCAAGTTAAGGTGAGCTAACTTTGAAATTTTGAACAATTTTAACAGAGCTCTTGAAGATGAAATTGATCATTGACACACTTGCTAATTGACCAGTCCACTCATATTCCGCAAGGAATCCGCTTATAATTCACATAACACACAGTCGTAATGGGCTATTGTCTTTTACTTTTCCCTGCCCTATTTAGTGCTTCTGAAAAATTTTAAAATTCGATAGAGGTTTATAACTACCAATATCAGAGATAAAAACAGTCAAAAATTTTTCATCTTTGTTTTTCTGTCCAACATATTTGTTTTACAAAAGCTGGCACATCAAAGAGCATCAAAGAGTGACTGCTCCGCTTTTTTTTTCAATTTCTTTGTTTTTGGGACTTTCATTTACATTTGAGTTTTATTTTTACAAGCTCCAGATTTTGGTTCTAATTAAACTTGACTGGTTCACAGCCAAATATTTGAATGTCTTCAGTGGTTTTTGATCTTATTTTGCGTGACTTTTTAAAACTTTTTATTTGGAAACGATCTTGGCTCTTTTTTAGTTTCTGTTTTAGTCCTATCTGTAATGTTTCAATTAATAAAATCTAACTGTCTTTATTGCGCTGATATCATTACATAGAAAAAAAAACTCATTACCTGCAAATTTTTTGCAACACCCAGAACTATTTGAGAACAGCATGTCAACAGTTTTTTGGCAAAACTCACAATTCAGCTGACACTGACCAGTATCACAGGATTAGCCAAAAAAATTTTGTGCATAAACCTCTCTTAAATATTTATTTCAATTGGAAAAAGTTTCTGTAGTAGATATTTTTAATTTTTAGGCAAAACGCAACTGTTTTCTACTTATAGCCCAAAGTTTAAATAAAACAAGGTGAATTTGTGAAAAGAAAAATGAACACTTTGAAAAGTTCCGCGCTTCAGTCGCGATGGTTGTCTATTTTTTTCTAATGCAACTCCATCTATCTTTCTTTTCCTTCAAACGTAGTTTTTTAAAGATAAACGTTTAATGCAGCATCTATCGCCGTCAAACAATCCATTTTTTTAAAAAGTACGGTGGCGTCAGTTTTATCTGGCTCAAAAGAGCCCAAATTAATAAATTATAGGAAAAGTGATGCGCTGTCGATCAATTTGAAAAAGAAGAACTGAATTATTTTTTGTTTATTTAACAGTTATTAACATGTGGGTTATGTTTTAGAAGCTGTAAAAATCAATTTTAATGGTTCGCATGAAAAATTAAGCAACAAAAACTAAATGGGTTTGTTGAAAAAGGGTTCAGGTGAGTTATTTATAAGTTGGATGACGTTTTTAAATAACAATTCGTATAAAATCTTAATGTTTTTTGTTTACCTAACTTTTTTCGACATGTGAGTCATGTTTCAGAAGCTGCAATTAACCGATGGTCAAAATTTTAAACTAAACATTGGACAAAAAATACAACAGATTTTTGAAAAAAGGTTCAAATCAGTCATTCATGACGCGTAGGATGTTTTTCCGGTCGATTCGAGAATCGAGAATGCAGTGGTTTATCATTAATCGAACATTTTCTTTAAAGTATTTATCGAACGTGTCGAGTTGTTAAAGCTAAAAAATTGTGATTAAAAAAATCGGTTCTGGGAGTTAGTCACAAAAACCACCAGGGCCAATGAAGAAGGGTCCATAACAGAGAATTATAAGGTGTGCGAATGTTAGCCGATCCCACATGGCAATAAAGAAGAAAAGTTCAACTTGAGTTAAGGATCCATCTTTGTTCAAAAGTTATTATTATGTGAGTTATGTGGTAGACCCACATACAAAAGTGCCCAATGGTGTTTTTCGTTCCCTTAACTACCGAACCATTAATGGTTTTACGTCAGTTTGATGATGTTGGATGATGTTGTGAATACAGTATTTTTTTTGACCGACCCTTCTTATTAGCATGTTGTTTATGAATAAAACCAGCTTTCAAAACCGATGGTCAAACAATCATTAGCTCGGAAGTTTCGGGGAACGAAAAAGCTACCATGGCTGTTGAAAAGGGGCAGAAAAAGTCGCAGTGGCCCGTGAAAAAGTGTATTAGTCAGAGAAAGATATTGCTAGTGATGTTTTGCCGAACAACACGACAAAAGAATACTGAGTGATTTATCAACCATCTAACAATTATTAGCAGGGGAGTTATGTTGTAGAACCTTTAAATGCTGATAGCTGATGGTAACGTTTTTCTTAAATCAACTTATAACCATTTTTTCATGGTTTTATAATTTTGATTATCTTTGATTTTGGATAAATTGTTATTATATACATCTAATTTAGAGGAGGATTGATGTGAGTAACCTGTTTAATGAGTTAATAATCCATATGCTGAAGATCTTCAACATCATATTTTATAACTCAAAAATCAGTAGATGACTTTTTTGACAAGCATGTGAGAAAAGTAAAACCGTATTCATATATTTTACATCACAAAATATGGTTTAGATGTTTTTTTGTTGTTAAAAATTACATAAATCAAAAAAGTAGTTGCTTTGTGATAAAAGATGAAAAGTTGAACAAATCCAAAGCAATAAGACTCTTTGTTATGATGAGATACTGTTTTGGTTTGTGTTTGCATTCTGTAGTGATTACAAGTTTGCATTTTTTGACATTCGAGTTGGTTTTTTACCATTTTAAGAAAGTTTATTAAAACTTGTTATTTACTAGCCAAAAACACGTGCTGAGCGCTTCAATGCAATGGCATGTTTAAAGCTGAAGTTATGAATCTGTGAATTAATCAGTGTAAAATGGCTGTCTGCTTTTAATAAAATTGATTAAAAGTGCAAAAGGTAAACTTTTTTAGAGCATGTAGGTAGAGACGACTTTGAGCCATTGTTTTTAATAATACGTTCAAGTTACGAATAAGAATTAATTTTCTATAGAAAATAAAGTACATATTTTATATAATGTATTCGCGAAATTCGAATTAGTCTTGAAAAACCTCAAAAAAAGAAAATCAAAACGCATTTATGAGCTACGATTGAGTTATGAATGATTTACTATATATTAGATGGCATATTGTAAAACGATGCTAAGCCGCAGTTTAAGAGATGGAATAGTAAAAGTAATCTTCATTCATAAAAAGTTTTACCTGTCGTGATTTTAATTTGCAGCAATTAAAACCATTTTAAGGGCTGGCTGTTGTTGATAGTCAGGTCAACCGCGGATATTCAACTTCAGCGATTCAAATGCCATTCATCATCTGCTTTAAACATTTGTCATAGCCAGTTTCCAAAATATGATTTAGTACTCAACAATACAAATATCTTTTTTATTTTGGCGACAACTAATAAAGACACTTGATGAAAAAATGCAATACTTTTTTGAAAACTTCATTTATTTAAACTAACTTAATTTAAGAATATTAAATTACTTCATCATTAAGTTCCAAGAACGCAATTTAGGCCTTTAAGAGAACAAAATCTTATCTAAATTTGATACCGGTCACAGCAAACTTTAAGAAAGCAGTAAAGTTTTCTTTCCAACTTAAATTTATTTCTCATTTATCTATGAGAAAATTTTAAAACCGCATCTCAAATTAAAAAAAAACAATATTTAAATATGGAAAATAATTTCCAAATGGTTGTCAACCGATCACTGAGTGATGGCATTGTAACAATAGCCAATGGGCGATCGAGTTCGGTGACTCATGCGAGTACAAGCAGTGTTCACGTTACTGCATCCCCATTGGCCCACGACATATCCACCCGCTCGTTGGCCAATCAAATTCAACATATGAACATTCTGGACTGCAAATTCGCAAACACCAATAACCATAAGGTGAGATTTTTGATGCTTTACTTGAGGTTTTTTGAAATTTCAGCTCCAAATGTGGAAAAACTAGGTATAGTTTGTCTAATTTACAGTTTATCGAACGACACGATTAAGTTTCCGGGAAAAAATTAAAGAAGTGTTACAAAAAATATATAATTTTTCGGTCTTGATTGTTTTTTAGCACTAAGCATTCGGGTAAAATCTAAAAAAAATTTCAAAAAATGGTTATCAATTCATTACTATACAAAAAGGAACCAAAAAAACTAGTTTAAACTTTTGTTAGTTCATTTTATAGGAAAATAATAAGAAACCGACGGAACAACTGAACTCTGGGGGTTTCTTCAGCCAATTTTGTTTCACCTTTCAAACTTACAATTGGATACAAAATTTATTTTTCTGAAAGCTTTGATAACTTGATCTCAAATTTAAAAAAGTTCCACCTGCAGTCAATTTTCGTACAAATTCCAGGGTTGAAAAACGAGTGAGTACAGTAAACCGATGCGCAAGTAAATTACCAGATCAGTCAACCAATTTACGTAATATTTAGATCAATTACGAAATTAAAGATTTACTGAATGATTTTTCCCTGAGCTAGAAGGATAATCTTAAATCTACGAGGCTCATTGGAAGAGCTATTTTATTTCATTTTTTGATTCAAATTTTGTTTTGAAGAAAAAATGTGTCACTTTGTAAAAATCTCAGTTTTTATCTAAAATAATTACATAAGTGAATCAATAGTTTCGGTTTGCTGATCCGGTCCGCCCGTTTTCAGTGTACTGATATATCGATTTGCTGATCAAGCACCTAAACAACTGCTAATTTGGTCAATTTGGCAAATGTGGAATAAAATCTACGAGCTATATATGCGGATCTAGGGCAAACATTCGTTGTGTCAATAATCTGAATTCGATAAAAAAATACTTAATAAAAATCAAAAGGCAAAACTTAATACAGAAAAATACTTAATAAATATTCAAATCAAAAGACATAGTTCAGATAGCCAATTTAGATTTAGTTGAATTTCGATTCAAGGTCTCCGTGGTGCGTGCTACGCGCACTTCAGCGCTTCGCGATGATAATCGGTTCTAATTATCATAAAGAGTCCGGCCCTCTATTGGCAAGGTTGCAAATTGTGGGCTTAATTTTGGTGATCACTGATAATTTGGCGAATACAGCATTGTTTAAATAATTGGTAAAATGGAGTTTTCTTCCTTTTTTTTCAAAAATGGCAAATGTTTTCCTCAGTAAAGCTATTTTTCGGGTTCTTCAAAACTTGTTTTTTTTTCTGATGTTGTACCCTATTTTTCAATTATAAAATATTTTTAGCGGTTAAAAATCTTCAGTTTTCAGCCCGCACGGTAATAAGCACAACAAAATGTTATAAAAACGTTGTATACCGGGCAAGATTTACCCCAGATTCGCCATTTTAGAAATTTTTAAGATCAATAAAGATTTAAATTCTACAAGTGAGCTCCAGTGAACAATTTTTTCACTTGGTAAACAAAATTTTCATCCAGAAAGCTTAGAAAAAATTGAAGTTTTAGGAAATAAAAAATATTAATTAATAATTGATTAGTTTTTATTGTAACAGTTTAAAAAAAAACGACAGTTCAAAAAACATTTAAGAAAGAGTTTTTTTTGCATTTTTTTTTCATTATCTTAATTTTTCAAAAAAAAGAAGTTCCATGCCAAGGAAGCGCTGACTGAAATTTTATTTTATAAAACTTTTTAAAAAAACTTTTTTGGCTTAACAACCAAAAGATCTAAATAAAAACTCAGTAACAAGGTAATAGCTTAAATAGTAGCCATAATTAGATCGACATTGGACTAAAATGTAAAGCTTTTAAATCCGATTTTTTTGAAAAACCCTAGAAAAAACAAAAAAACTGGCCGTAAAGTTTTTTCATATATGGAAAAAAAGTCTTGATCAATGCTTGTGTGATTTAAAAATCGAATTTGAAAAATGATCATCTTTGAAAATTTTGCCAAATTTTAAAAGGTTGATACTTTCATTATATTTTTTGTGTATGATAAATTCATTATACTATTTAAATTTTTTTCCTATGCATTGTAGATGCAAGACTATCAAACCTTTGGTGACTCTAGTTTCGAGTGAGTCAAGGCCTTATGCAAATAAAAAATCACAAATCTTTTTCTTTTCATGCAATTTTCTGTACTTATAGAATTTCTTGAAAAATGTATCATCAACACATATTTCACGCAATTTCATAAGTGCAGAAAACTGCATGAAAGGTCTATGATCAGTGATTTTCCAATAAACTACAAACTTGATTTGATGAAAATTAGAGTCACTAAATTTTTGACCGTCTTGCATCTACAATGCATTGGAAACGTCCTGTATTATATAGTGAAATTCTTCTAAGCAAGTGGTATAATAAACGTATCATTCTTATGATTTTTGGCAGAAGTTTTCCCAAAATATAAATTTTCAATACAACCCTAAAAGAAACTTACAAAAATTAAACATTTTGAGCATTTTTGAAAAAAGTTTTCCCGAGAAACTGAAAAATTCTGAATTAATTTATCCAAAACTACGTTATGCTCACCGATAATTCGTTTTGTGATTGAAAAACTTTTTGGGGCAATTTTCAAACTCTTTGGAATTTTTTTTGTAGTCATCAAAAAAACGCTGGTTCTACAATTTCCATATAAGGAAAATGATTGAGTAGCGTTTTTTTGACATTTTTTAAAAAATTTATGATGATACATTAAAGTTTATGCCAAAACAAGAAAAAAGTTCTTTGAAAAATCTATGAAATGATATCAGCACAATGTATGAAGTTTGTTTAATTAGTATTGTTTCATAGACTTTGGCTCTTTTTCCTTTTTTCCCCACCTCCCACAAGCTTCAATATATTAGTGTAACGAGTAATTTTACGAGGTTGAGTATGGGGAACAAGTATGTTTGTCGTGGCCTTTTTAGTCTGTATGTAAACTTTCATTACGATCGGAGGCTCTTTTTCCTTCCCCCCCCCCCCCCCCCGCCTGCAAAATTTTATTTGTAAAAATTATGTTCACTTTGTTCGATTGTTCGATTGTTAGGAAAATTACCATAGGGACTAATTTGGTTATGACAAACATGTTTGGTCTTCATAAATAACATTGTAAAACCACCCGGTACACCATAAAATTCATGTTCGTGAGAGGTGGGGGGAAAAAGCAAAAGAGCCCGATCGGACAATGTGGTCAACAAATTTACATGTAAAATATTGCAGGTGGGGGGCAAAAGGAAAAAGAGCCGACTTTGCTAATGATTAGTTTTTTTTGTTCTATGCAGGTCAACCCCTGGGTATATATAAATATCGAAATTTATGCCAAAACGAGAAAACGGTCTTTGAAAAATTGCTGACACTATTTAAACAAAATGTATGGAATTTCCCTTTCCAGTTTCCAGTATTCCAGTTTCCCTTTCCCCTCGTAAAACTTCAAAATAAAGCTCTTCAAAAATTGTTCTCACGGCATTTCGCATGCAAGAAATGGGCTCTTTTTCCTTCCCCCCCCCCCCCCCCACCTGCAATTTTGTACATGTAAATTTGTTGACCACATTGTCCGATTGTAATGAAAATTTACATACGGACTATTAAAGCCACGACAAACATATTTGGTTTTCATACTGAACCTCGTAAAACCACTCGTTACACATATATTGAAGCTCGTGTGAGGTGGGGGGGGGGAGGAAAAGAGCCAAGAAATGTAGTGAAATTTTGTTCACTTGTTCACGCTGACACTTTTTAATGCATTTTATAACATGAAAAGTCTGGGGGATCTTTTTCCTTTTCCCCCTACCTCTCATAGGTATCAATTTTTTTGAGGGAAGGGAGTGAATGAGATGGAGCATATCGGGTAGAAGCTGGATGGCGACTTTTGGAGAAGCCATCTGAAGCAAATAGATTTGTTTGACTTTCTCAACGTCATAATTCAGAAATGAAGAGTCGCTATAGTGTTGACTTTTCCCGCCACAATTTTCCACAACCACCAGTCGTTTTGATAATCAATCAGAAATCAGATAGATCGTAGATTGCTAAAAGTTGATTTGCTATTTTTTATTAAATATTGAGTCGTATTTAAAACCCTATTTGTGTATTCTTTAATAATTTATCATCGGCTGTGCACACCCTCTAATATCTGTACTCTAATATTCCTGGCCATAAGGCAATTGCTTTATTCAGTAAGTCGGAACAGTCGGAACAGTCCCGAACAGGTAAAAAAGAACATATTTTATATTGGTAGCTTCCGATGAATTAAGCAAACTGGTCTTTAAGCCCCTAACCCTTCCCAAAAGTAAGCTATAGACCCTTTAACAACAAAATCAATATTCAATCCGATCTCTTACAAACATGATGGTAACAGTTTCAAAATAAAAAACCAACAAAGTTTTTCTTAGGTCCATCGGCTTTTTTCTAGTCCCCTTTTGATTTTTTTTCTGTAATTCAATGTATGAAAGTCTATTTAAAATGACTTTTCATTTTATAAACTGCATTAAAACGTGTCAGCGTGAACAGGTGAACAAATTTTCACATTTACTACATGCAAAACGACGTGTGAACAATTTTTGAACAGCTTTTTAGTAATTTTACGAAGGGTGAGGGAAACTGGAAAATTTAAATATACAACTACTTTGTTTTATATTTATGGAGAGGGGGTGCAAAATACGCAGAGCTCACATAGCCACAGCTCTTTTTATATTTTTGACCGCTTCTCGCTCAATTGAGCAAACTCTTTAATTATGTGGACTCCTATTCTTTCAAGCCAACAGCAGGCTGTCTTGTTGATGCTCTAACTCCTGGTAGCTTTGAACCTATTTGGTCATCCAAGACAAAAACTACTGAATTTTTAAGTCTTTCTAGAAATGATCTGAATGAAAAATTTTCTCTTTAACTTTTTTTATGAAATTTAAATTTATTTAATCCGAGATTTTTCTCTTTTTTTTTGACCTGACCAGACAAAATTCATGCAACATAAAATTGAGAAAAATTGCCCAATTTTTTTTTAAAAAATTACTTGTCATAACGCAAACGAATCTAGAATACTTGGATTTTTTTAAGTATTAATCGTTGATTCGCTCAACCTTTGATTTTGTTTTTATAGGGATGACAATTCTTTACTTAAGAAACCACAGGGAGGGAATAGTGATCAAGATCTGAAAAAATTCCTATTGAAAAACGCAAAAGTTGAAGTTTTAGTGTGGCCCAAAAACAATATTTTATTCACTACACTATCTGACTAGTATTACTCTGAATAGTTGTTAAAATCTATGCAAGGTCTGTTACGTGTGTGGCTGTGGTTGAGAGTCTCGCATTTTTGTTGAGAAGCACCTTTCGAATGCGATCTCAAGTGACATAATGGTCTTGAGTCGCAGTCAAATTTACGACCACCACAATAAGCCATGAATCACGAATTAATAGACCGAATTAAACAACATGTCTGGCTAAACTATGAAAAGCATTCACTCGTTATCTTCAGCATAAGGTGAAACAATGTGCTGACTTCTGTTTCTTTTAATCAGTTTTTGGCTTTCTTCCACTCCCCTTTTTTTGAATTTTTTTTGAAAATTACTTTAACATTGTCACAGTGCAATGAACTTTTGCATCGGTGAAAAATTTAGCAATTGTGAACAGATTTGTATGATTAGAGTTTTGGTCATCCCGGGAACTAAGCGGGATGACTAAATTGGTGTTTTGCACGCAATTTCAGTTGCTCAATGCAAGCTTTTGCGTAACTTTTTGTTCAAGTTTTAAAAATTAAACGATTTTTTTCTTCACAGATTAATTTAGTCAACAAAGATTAATAAAGATTGATAAAGATATAAAAATTGACGATCTCATCACGTATTTGATGCTCGGATTTACGTAGTCGGCTCTTTTTCCGGCACGAAAAAGAGCTAAGTACTATCTATTTAATTAGTTGTACATATCGCTGTTGTAATCAATGTTTACTTTGATAAATTGGCCTTTGATTATCGAACCATAAACAGCCCCCTGAAATACTTAGTAGGATGGTCGAAAAATGCTGCTTTGAAACGTTTGTTTAAGAGAAAACAAACATTTTTGGCATCAAGTATTTAATATATGACAATTTCACTTATTTTTTGTTTTGCTAAATATGTAAGTTATTTCAAAAATCTGTTTCGAGCTGTTGTACTTTGAGTACATATAGAGATCAATCTTCTAGATTATTAGCCCCTAGGGTGATCTTAACTCGCCTTGGTGCTGTTGATTCATTTTGAGTTGTATTTTTGTCTCAACGTGTCTAATATAATGTGTTTGGTTACGAGTCTTTGATATTAACTTGTCTCCAAAAAGCGTCTTTTTACTAAATTGCTCCGCAGGTATTCTTGATTATAACTAGCCTTTATTACTAAACATAATAGAGTATATAAATTTTTTTTGATTGAACAGGTACTAAACGTGTTTTTGCTCGCTTTAGATGGCTTCATCTGAAATTGATTTATAAACTTATAACTTTTTACTTTTTCACTTTTCTCATATCAAATTAAGTTATAGTAGTCGAGTAGAAACGATCTCTATTTATTTTGCTTCAATTATTTTTTATTTATTTATTTTTCATCATTCAAAAGTTAATAAGTGAAATTATAAAAATATAAGTTTTTGAAAATCGAGTTAAAATTTTCCCGACGGAATAAAATCATTCACTTTTTCAAAATCGTACAAAAACTCAACTTTCAAGATAAATTTCTATTTATGATTTTATTCTTTAGCCTAAAAATTACTTGGCATAATTTATTGCTTCCTTTCAGCATTTGATCACAGGTCAATACCAGCCTGCGTCAAGTTCTCGTCACCAGTTTCGGGAGAACCCACAACTCCAAAAATACCAAAAATATCCTCCTCGTCTTTTGCAGTCTTCAGTTTCAAACCCAGGTCGAACATTCCACGAGGATCACCAGATGATGAAGACCAGAGATCAAATGGCACTTTTGGGTCTCATTCCTGCAATTAACCCTCAGCCCAAACTGACACCTCCGGGGAATATCATGGCAGCTCATCCCGTATCTCCGGTCAACTCCAATCAGCACTACTCCAACCCAGGCCAGTGGAACCCAGCGATGATCAACCCGTTCCACGCTTCCCAAACGTCCCCAACTCTGTTCTCGGCTGTCGTCGCGAACCATGGGAAGCACCCGAACGCCTGGGGAGTCGCAAGCATGTCTGACTCATCATCACCAGGGGGAAGCTCGATGGGAAGTTATCCTATCTCGCCCGTGCTTCAAAACAGTCCAGTGTCTCCCCCTACAAGTAGTCCAGTCTTCGATGCTAACGTCTACCTGCACCATATCAACAACCAGAGTAAACCGAGGTCAATGGTCAGCGGAAGAACTTGCTCACCTATCAGGCCGAAGAGCTTGGAACAGAAATCTGTTCTAAATGGAGTCCAAAATGAGCAGCAGATCTTGGCTCAGGAGGAGTACCAAGATTTCGAGGAAAGCCAAAATGGATCAAGGCCTAAATCGGAATCTGAGAAAGAAAAGGTCTGGAAGCAAAAACCAGAGAGGTACAAGACTGAACTTTGCCGAGCATATGAGGATCATAACTGGTGCAAGTACGGAAGCCGATGCCAGTTTGCACATGGACAAACCGAGTTGAGACAGGTTGAAAAGCACCCCAAATTCAAAACGCAACTGTGTAATGCGTATCATTCCACTGGGTACTGTAAGTACGGATCCAGGTGTCATTTTGTTCACAACGTCGAGGAAAGTAGAGTCCCGAACCCCCAGATTGCGAGTCCTAACTCGGGTATGAGTCGTCAGAACTCAGAGGACCAACCACAACCAGACATGCAACAAAAGGTACCCGAGATGCCTAGGAAGAACATGAATAAAGTTGAACAGCGTTTGATGCAGCCGAAAGGGACTTCGGTGGAAATCAGTGTCGAAATGCCGCATATTCCCGACGGTTATATTGAAGCTAAGGAAAATATGAAACAAAGAGAGATCCAGGGACCGGTGACTCCAATTGGAACCCCCATCAAGTCCGATTTAAGTCCGTATGACATCACGAAAGAGCATTTCATTGGATCCAGTTTTCTGAATAAGCAAACTCTGGCATCGATTTGGCATCATCCAGAAAGTTCGTCTCCCTGCGGATTCAACAGCAACAACAACGCTGTCTTCAGTTTCCTCCCGAAGAACTTGCTCGAGCTGTGATTGGCTGATAGTACAAAACACCTGACCAATGGGAAGCAAGTCTCCACTCCACATATCAAGCATCTTCATTTTGACTTACTACTCTGAACTTATTTTCGAACTTAATACGTCTTATATAAAAATACATTTTCATCAATTTGTAAACATATTTCAGTTCATTAATTAAAACTAAGTAGAAACGAATTCCATTATCAATTAGTGCCTTAATCAAATGATGCTCCGTGCATTAATAAACAGTAACCCAAGTCTGGTAACTTTATATAGCATACCTACTTTTGCAACTACTTAACCAAATATCCGAAACTAATTTTGGCAGACGCCAAATTTTTATTCATTTATTAATTGTGATACTTCGATACTTGTTATGTTCCCAAGCTCTTTAGTATGTTTTGTAAAATTTCCATTCAATCCGCGTTCATTTATGATTTATTTAACAGTTTCATTATCCCGGAGAATGTCGCTCAAATGATAATAAACATCTTCTCACTTAGGTGCTCACTTAAATAAATATATCCAAAATTTCAATTAATTTATTTCGTGCACAAAACAGTAAATTATACGCTTAAAAGTATCAGTGATGTTGATATTGCATAAATCTTCACTTTTTGAGCCTCGTACCAATTTTGAAACTGAAAAAGTATCTGTAGAATTATCAAAAATGGCTCAAAAATTGATATTTTTCAAATCTTTTTGTTCATATTTGCAAAACTGCCATCCAATTCAAAAAACAGCAGCCGCTCGGCAACTGAAGTGTTCGCCTATTGGTCGTTTTTTTCTTGGAAACTTGTTTAATTCAATCATGTTCAGCCGCAAGCTCTTGTCGTATTTATTATGTTGACAAGCTACACCGGTGTATTATGTGTCTGTATGTTAGCTACGGAGAGTCGTTTTAAATTATTGTAAAGATAGACTGTAAATATATTTTTACGCTTAATCTTTTTCTTCTCAAATAACAAAAAAAATAAGCCACGGACAAACGAAATCGAAGATAAATAGGTAAACTTCCCCCAGACCTGATAGCAGGCGCGGATCTAGGATTTTCTCGAGGGGAGGGGCGGATTTTCAAAAAAAATGTTGACGACTTTTTTTAGGTCGACTAAATTTATTTTCCGAGTTCTGCCAAAGCACTAAAAAGACCTTGTTTTGACCAAATTTTCAGCGCCGCAGGCAAAATTTTGAAAAAAAACATGCCTAAAATGCGTTTTGAGGCACTGTATAGAAAATTTTTACCAAATAGGTGTATTTTTGCTCCAAAGGTGCCTTTAGAAAATTTTTAGGGTCAATCAGCCAAAAATGGATATCTCAAAAAAGTACCTGAAGACAAGTTTAAAAGCTCGGCGTGCTTCATTCAGAAAAGGTCGTCTGCGATCATTCGTTATAACATAATGAGCAGGGGCGGATCTAGAATTTACTCGAGAGGGTGCGGATTTTCAAAAAAAAATGTTGAAGTATTTGTTGACGCTTTTGTTTTTAAGTTGACCAAATTGAGCTCCCAAGAGGTCCCAGAACACTAAGAAGACCCCATTGTGACCAAAATTGTTGCGCGGTAGGCAAATTTTTGAAAAAAAAACGTTTTTGGGCATTTTTTGGAAACTTTTGACTGAAAAACCGTGTTTGTTTTGGCGCGCGCTCCCCCTCAAAATTAGTACCTGATATATTAGTGCCTGATTATGAGGGTCTGAAAACTGCTAATTTAGCCGTTTTGGGAAAACAAAAGCACAGTTTAACTCATTCTACCCTAATATAAATTACAATCAAAAGCTACCACTAAAATCTAGCCAAACGAACTTGTAAGAATATTACAACAAATAAGGCAAAATTTGCCAGACTTTTCTTTAAACGAAACGTGAAAAAATAGGGGGCGAACTATCCGTTGAGAAAATAAAACTGAAAAACCAAAAACTCAGACCAGTCACCGAGAAATGGTTAGCAATTTTTTAGTCAGTATCAGAACTGGGATTTCAATATGAACAGCCTTTTAACAATAAGAGTTTACTTTCAGCCAGAGTACAGAAGGCTAATAGAACAGAAGTTATAAAAATTGGGTAAATTACCTGAGGAGAGTAGTACACCAATTGTTAGTAAGGGTAGTTTTAAGGGTTGAGTCAAAGGAGTTCCATGCAGTTGGGCATCAGTTGAGTAAGTACATGAAAAATAATACAATAGTAAATCAGGGATAAAACTAAGGTAAATATAATATCATAAATAGGGATATTATATTACATGGTACGGGGAATACTAAAAGGCGAACGTTAGAAAAGGGGAACTGTTAATAAGGGGGTTATTCAGAAAAGTTGATATTAATCCCGAGTTTTCGTATAAATTGAAACATAATTTTACCTGAAAGTTTGTCATTTCCTTGTAAGTCATGCTGTTTTTTAAAAAGTTGAGAGAAAACGAGTGAGTCAGCTTGGCTGTAATGTCAAAAGTCAAGTTGAGAGAAAGGTGACCTTAATTGTTTACAATTAACACCCGCCCACATTTGCAGAGCTTGCAAATAAAGTATTGAATAAAATAGTAAGGATACGGTAAAATACAAAGATAAGGGAACCAGTAGATAAGGGAACCAGAAATTGTTCTTTTTTCATCTTCATCTTGGTTTGTCTATCGTTGAGCTGATTGTCTTAGTTGAATTGAAGAGTCGTAGATTTGTTCATCTTTGTCGAGTTGATATGTTGAAGGCTGAGTTGCGTGATTATTTGGTTGGTTAGCTATTTGGAGCTTGGTTACTGCGAAACTGGGAAAACGCGGCTCAATTTGACCACAGGTCGAACTTTGAATCCAGTTGGCGTTTTCAGCTTCACTGAGCGGACTATTCCATCTTGTCCAGGAAAGGTTTCCACCACTTTAGCAAGAGGCCACAGTCCACGAGGTGTAAAATCCTCCAACATCCAGACCATGTCGTCGGGTTGCAAATTGGAAGTCGCAGAAGTCCACTTTGATCGTTTCTGCTGACCTGGTAAGTACTCTCGAAGAAAGCGATTCCAGAAGTGATCTGCGAGTAGTTGGGATGCTTTCCATGATTTTGACAGAGATAAATCCTTGTCCTTGAAGATACCAGGCGGTAAATTTGGAGTTCCACGACCAAGAAGGAAATGGTTGGGAGTGAGAGGCAGATCATCTTTGATGTCGTCAGACACATTGGTTAAAGGTCGTGAATTCATGGTTGATTCAATTTCGGTCGTGAAAGTAGCCAGTGTTTCATAGGAGAGTGTTCTTGATCCGATGACTTTGTACAGGGAAAGTTTAAATATCTGAACTAGTCGTTCCCAAGAACCACCAAAATGAGGGACCGCAGGAGGGTTGAATTTCCATTCGAGTGATACGTCCAGCTGATTGATGCTTTCCACAAATTCTTTGTTCTTCTCCAAGTTGTCTAGACATTTCTTCAGCTCAGAATTGGAGCCCACAAAACTTGTCCCACAATCAGAAACCATTTTCGATGGTTTTCCTCGCCGGGCAAAAAAGCGTCTGATACAAAGAAGAGTGCTGTCTGTCGATAGTCCTAATGAGATTTCAAGATGCACAGCTCTGATCACTAAGCATGTGAACAGTAAAATATACGCTTGGTATTGTTTTCCTTGAAGGATGATGGGAAAAGGTCCAACGTAGTCCAATCCAGTCGTTGCAAAAGGAAAATGATTTTTTGATGGCAGTCGATCAATTGGAAGATCTGACATCTGAGGGTAGTCGACTTGTTGTTGCATTCTTCTGCAGGGTATACAACTGTGTATGATACTTTTCAGCATGACGCGGCAGCGAAGAATCCAGTAGTTTTCCTGTGCTATGGCAATTGCTTGTTCCTTTCCGCAGTGGGAATGTAGAACATGGATGTTAGCTAACAGCAGGCGAACATTGGGGTTTTCACCAGCGAGAATGATTGGATATCTAGCTGATAGCATGATAGGGGCACGCGTGAGACGTCCACGAGAACGCAGGATACCGAAGTTGTCCACAAACGGTGCTAATGTTCGAAGTCTACTTTTGCCTTCAATTGGTTTTTCTTTTTTGATGTCTGAAATTTCAGAGACAAAATCTGTCCTTTGGGCAGTTTTAATTATGAGAAAGTGCGATTTCGTTAGATGCAAGAGTTGAAGATCGACCTTCGACTGTTTGTTGATCTTCCGTTTGAGATTTTCTGCGAATAAGAAGCAGTATGCAACTGTCCGTATTAGTCTTTTCCAGTTGCTGAAGCGTTTGATGTCAAATATAGGCTCAAATTTAGACTCTAATGAAGTAACGAATACAGGAATGTTCTCAAGCCGAATGTTTTCCTGTGAAGGCCATTGAGAAGAATCGTTCAACAGAAATTCCGGTCCTAGTAGCCACCGACAGCTTGAGGTCATTTCTAAAGCAATGTATCCTCTGGTACCGTCGTCAGCAGGATTTAGCAGAGTTGGAACGTGAAACCACGGTTCAGGTTTAGAAACGTCTAAAATTTTCTGAAGCCGATTAGCGACGAAAATTTTGTGTCGTATTTCAGGTGTTCGCAGCCAATACAAAACAGTAGTACTGTCAGACCAGAAATAAGTTTTTTCAACTTTGAGGTCAATTTCCTCTGAAACAAAGAGCGATAGTTGGGCAGCATATACTGCAGCTTGCAACTCGAGATTGGGAATTGTAACACGTTTCATAGGAGCGACTCTTGTCTTTCCTATTATAAACTTCAAAGATGTGGAGCCGTCGCTGTAGACTATTCTTAGGTAGCAAACAGCAGCGAGAGCGAATTCTGATGCATCACAAAACGTGTGAAGCTGGATTGAAGCAGGGTTTTCTTTATCAAAGAAGTTCCTTTGGAATGAAACAGTTTCGAAATTTTCCATTTCGTCTACCCAAAGTTTGAAATCGGGAAGTTTATCCGTGTCTAATGGAGTATCCCACTTAACACCTTGTGACCAAACAGATTGGAGAACTTTTCGAAACCGAATTGTCAATGGAGCCACTATTCCGAGTGGGTCAAATAAAGAAGCGGTATACTTCAGGAGTTTCCGTTGCGTAGCAATGCCAATACGTAGAATTTTTACAAACTTTTTGTTATCAATGAAGTAGCAGTCAGTGTTGGTATTCCAGTGAACACCGAGAACTCGTTGATGTTTAGGCGTTGGATCATTAGGGCTGACTAAAATATTTGGATCAATTGAATCCAGGAATGGTTTACTGTTTGAGTTCCACTTATTTAAGTTGAACCCACCTCGAGATAAAGATCCTCGTAGTTGTGTCATTTGTTGGAGGGCTTCTTCTACCGTTGACGAAGTGACATACAAATCATCCATGTAGATATTCCGTTGAATGATTTCAGAAGCCAGAGGAAAGTCGTTTTTACTGTCTGATGCACATCGTCGTACTGCGTAGCAAGCCACGCATGGTGAGTCTGTGGCACCGAAAATGTGTCGTGTATATTCGTGAGTTTCTAATTTACCATTTTCTTTCCAAAGGTATCTTAGAAAAGGTCTATCCTTTGGGCTGACTAGCACTTGCATAAACATAGCATCTATGTCAGCAGATATTGCTATTTTATTTTGTCGAAAGCGAATTATGAGACCTGTTAAGTTGCACAAAAGATCGGGCCCTTTGAGCAAACTCGAGTTGAGGGATTTACCCTGAAAAATGCTGGAAGCATTTGAGACTCGTCTAACTTTGTCTGATTTATTGACATTTGTCACTGGATGATGCGGCAAATACCAAGATTTGATTGCAGTGTCATGTTTTGCATCTATTTTGGTGACAAAGCCTTTTTCTAAGTCAGTGATGACTGTTGCGCGGTATTTCTCCCTTAAATCAGGTTTACTTTTAAGGCGAAATTCGAGGCTGTTGAGTTGCTTTTCAGCTAGCCAACGGTTATTTGGAAGATCAGTATCCTCTTTCCAAAGAAGGTCAATTTGATAGTGACCATCTACTAAAGTACAAGAGTTTTCGAGAATATCGATTGCTCTT